AAACGTAGTGAATTTTTCGTTTCAAGAATACTTAAATCGCCAATATTTGTAGTTGGAGTTCAGTAAATCTCGGCAGATTTTAGTAATCAGGAATTAGTATTACTAAGTGAAGAGGTCTGAAACTGAAAAACGTTAACCATACGATCGCGCGGCGATATAAGAGTTTCATAAACTAATTTTCACAGAAACTGCACCAATGGCACAGTCAAGATCGAAACGATAGCCTGCTGTACTGTCATTTTATTGATTTCAATGATGAATCAGTGGGGTTAAGATAATCACATTTGTAATAAAATATAAATAAAACATCTCTGTACCGTCAATTGTGCTAGTCTAAACCAGCCTACCTGTATTACCAGACCTCTTCTTTTCCTCGACAATCAAACCAAGTTGCTCATATCGCATTTGGTGGGTGATGTAAGTAGTAATGCGCTTAGTCAATAAAGACACCGTGATTTTTATTAAAAGGAGATGATGAAGCAAGTATTCATGACACAAAGAAGAATGGTCGGTGGGGATTGGGACCCACTTAAATCACCTTAACACAGTGCCCTCGGTAATCCATCCTGTCATTCAAATCACCTTAACACAGTGCCCTCAGTAATCCATCCTGTCATTCAAATTATTTGTTATATAGTAGTGTTGTAGGTATTGAAACTTATACATAACGAGCTGTATTCAATCAGAATACGACACAATACGTGTATATTATATGGCTCTTAATGAGAAACCCGGTATAGAGACGTTTTAATGTTTATCACGAAAAAGTATACTTGGCCTCATTACATGGCTCATTTACAGTTCGAAGAAGGCAAGAACAGATCAAGGAAACTAAGGAACAGCCAGATCCAGAAAGCAAGTGTAAATACACCTTCCAACATCAACTGTGACTTGTTTTGTATTGTTCTGCATACCGCTTCATTTGCTATGCTGGATACCTCAAATCACCCCCATATGTCAGGGTCGGCTAAACGTAAAATCAGCAAGGGTAACATACTGGCAAGGGTAAGATGTAGATACGAGTGACGGGCAAGGGGTAGTAAAGAACCGGTAATAAATAATTCAGTGAAATATTCCACGAGAGTCAGGATATTTTGGAAATTGCTAATAGAGACAGATTCTGATCAGGAAGGATTGTTAATGTTATTGAGGGTGTTGATTTGAAATCCGGACGTCGTGAGGTAAAAATACAGGTTCTTCCCGTAGGATATTCGGGGCTATGATGATCAGCTCAGGATTAATGTGGGACAGATGGACGGGCATTGAAAAGAGCGAGTTGAAAGCTTTCTGGTCTTTTCTTGCCTTCTTTGAGCCATGAGGCCAAGTAGACGTTTTCGTGATAAACTGTAAAACCTCTCCATACTGGGCCTCTCACGGGAGAAACGAGAAGTGTACGATATAGAACGTTTCATATACCTCATTAAGGGCCATAATATAATATACACGTATTGCATTGTGTCGTTTTGTGATTGATTACAGCTCGATATGTATTACTACTTACATCACCCACCAAATGCGATATGAGCAACTTGGTTTGATTGTCGAGGAAAAGAAGAGGTCTGGTAATACAAGTAGGCTGGTTTAGACTAGCACAATTGACGGTACAGAGATGTTTCATTTATATTTTATTACAAATGTGATTATCTTAACCCCACTGATTCATCATTGAAATCAATAAAATGACAGTACAGCAGGCTATCGTTTCGATCTTGACTGTGCCATTGGTGCAGTTTCTGTGAAAATTAGTTTATGAAACTCTTATATCGCCGCGCGATCGTATGGTTAGACCTCTTCACTTAGTAATACTAATTCCTGATTACTAAAATCTGCCGAGATTTACTGAACTCCAACTACAAATATTGGCGATTTAAGTATTCTTGAAACGAAAAATTCACTACGTTTTTTAGAAAGGCATTTTTATCCGTGTTTCATGCGATTTGATCACTTTTGGCGGAAAAATTTTTTTAAATTTTCGAAATTTTTTCCAAGTCTCGAAAAAAAAATGTAAGTGAAAAATTTTAAAATTTTTTCTAAAAACTACTTTTCTCCGTGTTTTAAGCTATTCCGATCATTTTTAGCCAATAAAAATTTTTTAGAATTTTGCTAATTAGTTAATTGATAATTATCCAATTAACTTATTATCTGACGTAAAAATTGTTTGAACAAAAGTTTTTCTTCCTGATAATATGAACACACTCGATTGATCCGCAACCTTTTACGATGTTCACAACTAAAGATATTCGACAAACAAAAAAGGTGGTAAAAAGTGGTAAAGTGGCAAAAAGTGGCCTTAAGACAAGTGGAAAAGTTTGGAAAAGTTGGTCAGCCATAAAGGGCACCTAATGGCACTCAAAAACGTCAAAAAACCTCTGAAAGCTTTGAGTGTCAGCAGATCGATTTTTTTAGACGGATCTGTCTGTACTATCACTCTTCAGCGCAGTCTTAATCAGATTTACAAAATATTTATTATTCCGTCTATTGGAGAGTGTGAATTGAAACTATTTACACGTATCGAATTCAATTATACCCGAAACAAGGCCTAACTCAAAATTCCACTCCAAAACTTAAGGTCATCATGCACAATGGTGCACAATGGTTTTTCCATGGGACCAAGATTAAAAGCAGCTGATAGATTTCACTCCCCTCTATCAGAAACAACTAAAAAATTGATTTTGAGAGAATTTTGATAAAGACCCCACCGGCCCCCTTAATGTGATTAGTTACGCAGGATCGAGCTGGACGATGAGAATGACACGTACCACTTTGAGAGTCTACATTCCCCCGGCCCAGCCCCCTTAAGGAATGGGAAGAATTGTGAGATTCCATCCCACTATAGCAGGGTTCCTGTGAGTTATTGAATCAAAGAATTCATATCTAAAATTAACATCTTGGTAACTTACTATTCTAGACTGTACGATAGGTCGTGGATCTCTGACAAGATGGAGAATTTTGTAGTTTTTGCATCCCATTTCAGGTAATTTGGACAACACTGATAGATCAGTGAGTCTGATTACTTTGGCAGATATCATGTCCATGGTTCTGCACATGATTTCCACCGCTCCTGGGTGATTTAGCACGGTTACAGTTGGAACTGCAAAAATATACTTGAACTTATGATACCCGATCGCGATGAAACAGATACAAACGCTGTCCTCTCAAAACATATTTCCTCCGAAATGACACCTCATTCGCAGATTTAAGTTATTTAAAAATTACCTCATTAATTCCCTACCTAAATCTTTAGGAGTAGCTGCTTTGAGAGTTGCTTTCAGCTCCGTGCCCCCCGACTTTCTGTAGGGCGGTAACACCTCACCATATTTGTCCAAGTAACCTTGCAACCTCTGGGGAGAAAATATAATTAAACTATATAATAATAATGAGGTTATAGATCTTGCAAGGCCAGGCTGAGCGTGAGTTTTTAAAACTATAAGTATATATAATATAGATATCAAGGGTAAGGTATCAGTAGTTTTAATTTTCACCAGTTATTTGCCTTGTCTGCTCCCTACTAAACACTACAACATAATAAGGTTAACAATGATGGCGGTATAGTAAATTGCAATAATAAATATAAGATTTCCAGGCTTTTAGTAATACTGCAGCGGAAAGTGGGATTATAAATATTTGGCGACAGGCAGACGTATACACCATATTATTTTTATAAAGATCATTAGAACCACCGAATCAACAACAGTCACTGTTAACTAAAGGAGTTGCAGACCTAATTTAGCGAAATTCTTAAAATTTAATTTTGTTAAATGTTTACTTCTGCTATAATATAATAACCAATAGTACATTAGTAGAGAGACTTACATGGAGTGACTTGCTCCAAGAAGCTCGTTCCCCCATAGAAGGGTACTTGACGTCATCAAACTGACACTGACACTCGTTACTCAGAATCTGTAGCTTGATATCCGTGTACTCGTCTTCTGTTAGTTTACTAGCGTCCACTACCTGGAAATAGGTAAAGTTTAGATGGACAACATTTGGATCAGGTCACAGTGGGTCTCCTACTTTGCCGGGCAATTTAAATGTCAAATTATTGGATTTAAAACGTCAGCTTACCCAACCGCTCAAAACTGGGATAGGACATTATAAATAAATACTTACGGAAGAAAAAGCTCTGGCGTCGAGCGGTTCGAAGAAGTCTAGAACATTCTCGTTCTCCTTGAAGAAGCTTTCTAACCAAGTGCTCCCCGACCTGGCCTCCGCTACTATTATCAGGAATGGGACACTCTGATTAGTCGCTGTCAGGTCCTGGAGAGTGGGGTTGGTTAGGACGGCTACACAATTAGTCTATAATCAACAATGTAAAATATGTGGATATTATTAGACAACCGGTTAAAGATCTGTAACATACAATCCCGCAATTTAATCTTACAAAGTCGCCCTTTGTGAGTATGATGAGAAACCTAATTATAAAGCACGACCTACCTTAGTCATCTCAGCAGAAACCTGGCAGCCAGGTCCCTCGTTGTGCACCACCATGCTCACAACAGTACATGAAACGACGAGGAGCGTCATCACCGCCACAACGATGGCCACCTGCTGCCTGGAGTTTGTCGTGGAGAGGAGACGAGACAGCTGCTGCAGCATCATCCCTCCTGACCTCCACCTTATAGTAGACACTGTGATGGTAGGGGTGGGGGGACTATACCCAGAGGGGGCAGGTACAGAGCGGGAGTTACTGAGATAGGGAGAGAGAGAGGTTGTGGGGCGAGCTAACTGCTACTTCATATCATCTCTCCCTGCCATCACCTTAACAGGGGGGTTATCGTTACAGGGAGGTTTATCAGCACAAATATATTCAGAATATATTACTAATTAGATTATATTTCAAAATATTATTTACTATCCAAGTCGTAAATTTAATTCAAATCAAACAATCTAACGATTTAATTCACAAAGGTTCCCTTTTGCAGAAGATTTAACATTCAAGGGGCGTCACTGGTAATGGCAGCTTGAATTTCAACAGAGCAGAGAAAGTAATCACATGAAAAACCTGGTCTCATCAAACAAAACAAGATTACAAATACATGAAATAATGTGAAATAGATCATCGACACAAATAAGAGCAGAGATAAAACGTCTGTCCACAGCACAGACAGAACAAGATTATACAGATCATCGACACAAATAATAAAGCAACCTAAAGATAAAGGTGACACGGTGAGGTGTACACAATGCTCTCTAGTCTCTATATCAGATGTAAACACATTAGCGGTCAACCAGACAATAACGATGTAGAACTTGTACAATAGGAACTCGAACAGTAGGAACAAGTGATGTTACAAATGACACGTGTACGACGTACGTAGCAACACTACATAAAGAGAGCGTGTTTTATTATTTACACAGCGGCAAAGCCTTAATGGAAAGAAGATTGTTAATCGAATGAAATCGAGTATTCCTGCAAAACTCAATTTGACGAGTAATTCTGATCGGTCATAACTCTGCAATAATACACAGCAGATCGGGAGTAAAACTAATTCCCGTAACTAGGTAACTACCATTCAACTCTGTACGGAGTGTCTAGAGTTTCCCGTCACAGACCTAACTCAGAAAGGTCGATTACTTAACACGTACCACAAGTCTTCCCCTGTTCTGCTGATTTGTCACGTGATCAGAGATTTAAGGAGGTTAACTCGTCTGGCAAAAAGAAAAGTTACTCTGCGGCACAGTCTCCTCTGCGGCACAGTCTCCGCGGTGAGGGATAGTTTTTCAATATTCAATACCATCTTCTAAAAATCCACATATTGGTACATTCGATACCGGATATCGCGGAGTAGGCAGACAGTCGGTAGAATGTTTATTTTACGCAGTATCTCTTTAAAAGACGCTAGAATATTGTAGCAGCACTTGCCAAATAATATTTACTCACGCCCTAGATCAATGAAATTAACCGGAATTATATATAATTAACCGGAATCATATATATGAGGGATATATAAGCTCTTCTGCTGGAGGAATTTATCCTTAAATCTTCAGGATTTCTTGCAACCATAAATATTCCATATATGTTTCCGTTCTCACGACTTCGTTCTCACTGATCAAAACTTCTCAACTCTGATAGTCTGTCTCAACGCGGCTCAGCTCCCCTGATACCAGCTCATCATCAGGAAACTCATATTCATTTGCACTGACAGGGATTTAGAGTCCCATTTTCCAGGAAGTTCAGTGTCCTCCTCTAAAGCCACCACCTCCTCGACCACCCCTCATTCCTCCTGCACCCCTCATTCCCCCTCCTCCCCTCATTCCACCAGCCCCTCTCATACCACCACCTCCTCGCATTCCACCGCCTCCTCGCATACCTCCGCCGCCACGCATTCCTCCACCTCGCATTCCTCCACCACGACCACCACGGCCACCACGTCCGCCTCCTCGTCCTCGTCCACCCCATGATTTGGGGGATTTCGGACGCAGACTCTCAATGTCCTGTCTTTGTGGCAACAGTCTCGATTCTCTGAAGGTATAGGTTATGTTACATGGCGTGGTTAAATCTTACTTTTTATCATAAAAATAAGTTAATAAAGTAAATATAGTTCCCCATAATATCTTCCCATAATATCTAACCTCGATTTGGGAGAAGGCACGTCCATCCAGCCAACCCCATCGATGCCCAATCCCCATGCCCATTTGACCAAAAATTGAGGAATAAATGTGCATATCAGTACTCCAGTAGACAAGCGACCATAGTCTAATATATGGTGCCACCGGGTTTTAAAGTTCTAAAATAATTAACTATAATTTCACGTCGAAAAGATACGCAAATCAAATGAACGTCTAGAAAATCTGCCGCTAGACATCTTAAAATCGACTCGAAATCACAGCAATCTTTTAAAAAAGCAACGGTAAAGCAAGTACTATAAATCTTGTAAGGCTGAGCGTGAGTTTTTAACGTTATGGTGTTTAGTAGGGAGCATTACGGCTAAGGTACCAAAACCGTAATTGAGTTTCAAGATGGTTACCCTAACTGCTGTAACCTCAAGGAAACAATACTGAGAAATGTGTTTTAAAATGAAAGTACTGTTTGTCACCTTGGTAATTTGAAATTGTTGCTAATCTGTCATAATCTCAAATTTGTCGTCTTAAAAGAAGAACCGCAAATTCGAGACAAAATAATTAGGTAGGATATCCTTTCAGAAACTAACAATTATGCGGCAGTGGTTGAATTGGTCTATTCCCCAATATCTTATCAAATTACTGACAAATCACAGTGCAGTGGCTGGATTCTCCTTAGTCCTCGGAACACTGTGACCCTGAATCTGTGAATCTGCTTATACAACATGTGGACAAATTATCCCTACAATCTGACCCTGAATCTGCCTATACAACATGTGGACAAGTTTCCCTATAATGAGTTAGAATGCTTGCTTCTACGAATTTGCTCTTCTACGCCCCTACGTTTAATAAAATAGTGGAAGAAGATACTAACTTGAAGTAACTGAGGTACTGGTCAGGATTGTAGTTGCTGGCAGATATCTCTGGTCCTACTGTCACCCAGCCTGCCCTCAAATTAGCATCTGATCCGAACAGGTGTATCCTTCTCCTGCCTAGACAGAACCTGAACCAGACACGTGTGTCAGAGCTAGACACGTGTGTCAGAGCTAGACACGTGTGTCAGAGCTAGACGTTAGTAACACGTTACAATAAGTTAACATAGTAACCGTCGCGTGGTGACTATAATAAGTATTTTAAAATCAATTTATACAGTAGTTTATATGTAGTTGAAGTAGTAGTATTAAGCCCTGCATTCAGCTACAGAAAATATTACAACCAGTTACCAGTCCTATTTCCTAATTAGACAGAATGATAATACAAAAAGTTAGTATTTGACGTACCGCTCCATGATTTTGAAGATCTCCTCTGGTTTTTGAGTACTGCCGTATGGTTTCTCCTCCTCTATGATGATATCAATATCAATGTTTGCGTGTATGATGTGCCCGTCCGTGCTTCTCCTCACCGTGCCCTGCAGTTGTTTATATTTAATTAATGAATATATTACAATAGCGAAGTGAGGTTTTCCACCAAGCAACTCAGGACAAATTCAAAGACTCTGAACAAATTGTAATATGTTAGGATTAGCCGCACATAGACAAGGTCATTAGAAAAGAGCAATTCAGGAGTTCCCACTTTCCTATTTAAACACAAAAGTAATAGGCTCTTGAATTGAAACCATCAAACAATTTAAGCCCCGATATCGTAAAAATGAGTCATAGAATGCTCTCACGGCTTTTAGCAAACGATTTGTGAAGGCGATACAGACCACAGACATTGCCGACAATCAGGCTCGGTCAAGATATCGGCTAATTCGATTGGGATCGAGGATTCACTCCTTAATTTGACTTGGTGATATGGTGATATATCTCGCCCCGCCTATCTGATATGGACTATGGTACAACTTTGCAGTGAGGAATTTCATCATGTATATTCTGTACACGTGTGTGGGAGCCTGCATTAACGTGTGTGGTACGTGGTGCCACCATTCTTTAAGCTCCTACAGTCTCTCCTCTTTCTATAAAATAGGTGATTATAACACGGTCCTTCTGTACAACGCGGATATGTTACGATAAATCCTCCATCCAAATAACATTATATAGGGGATCACTGAACGTATAACTTTGAGACGGGAGCACAGTCTGCAGGAGCAACTGCAGACAACACGGTAATGCTTTTAATGTTTATGTAAAGTGTAAACTACAACTATTATTGACAGTTATCCCGAAACTCGTTCCAAACGCTATTACGCTCTACACGACCGACTGTCAAAACTCTAAAACAGGTCTAATACAAGCTGCAGAGTGCAGGGAGGATCTACCAAGTACCAGCTACCTATGTGACCTATGTTGAGTTTCGTCAAGACTTGACGGATCCATCACATCTTCTGACCACCCCATATTACGGAGTAAAGTCTCGCTCGTTGCGCCAGCACAGCAGAGAGTTCATAGTTGGAGGAGTATATCCCCTGATCGGCGGCTTATTGGGGAGAGACAACATTAAGCTTGTGAGCTTATCTTTGAAGTGCTCCAGATCTTGAATGACATTCAGATGGTAGGGGATTGCATTCCACAATTTAGGTCCCTGGACTGCAAATGAGTTGTCAAACATGGTGAGGTTTGCTGTTGAACTGGTTCTACGTTTTGATGGAATTACTGGCTACTGCAAGGTTTTCAAGCCTTGGGCGTGAAACAAATAGAACGTTCAGATCATTGCTGGTCTTTCCGTGGAGGATTTTCCACATAATATGGAGAATGATCAATCACTCCCGCCTTCGTTGAAGAGACATCAGAGATAGATAGACCAGGCGATCCCAGTAGTGGATATCGCGCATTCCTGATATTCTGGCGGTGAATGCTTTCTGTACACTCTCCAGTTCTTGGATATTGCTGATTTTTGAGGGATCCCATAATGCAAATGGCCAGCAATATTCAATCAGACTTCGAACCATTGATTTGTATAGCTTTTTGGATGACCCACTGGATTCTTGCACGGATTGACCAGAATGACAACTTACAAACACTTCGGAACCGGGAGAGTTGCGGTGCAGCAGACTAGAACCTCGGGAACACAAACACGGAATATGGTAGTCGTGTATGGCCCGGTTATTAAACCCCGGTATGTGTAAACAAAATCTGTGCAAGATAAACAGCTAGAAGAGGCCAGGAGTCGTGGTGCGCGCGGCATGGTTCACAGAGCGCGCACGAAATTTGTGTGCTTATTCGATACAAAATTATACTTTGGACATTAAAACAACGTTTAGATCTCGCGCGCGCTGTACTTCAGGGAATAATTGCCCATGGCCGAATTGATTTCTATATTATTGATGTTTTGACTTTTAAGTGAACCCCTAAACAACTATTTAATAAACACGGAATAGAAATCAGTTCTAAAGCATCAAATTTATGTTATCGAATCGAAGTCAGCTCTCTTTACTATTCGCCTAATTTTGCATGGTGGCATGACAGCGGTGTGTTGATTGTTGGAAGTCGAACCTTATCTGATATCTCTTAACATAATATATCACGATTTTGAGCTGAATGCCGAACATAAATTGGGGGCATAATCTGTCGTACACAGTTGCGTTAAGGTTACACGTTGTACATCTTACGGTAGTGTACAATGTGTGGATTAACTGATGTTAGAATAATTTTAATACTGATAACAAAGAAAGTGCTCAAGATTCCCGAAACTCACAGCGTCCCAGAGGACAATTTTATATATTTTATAGGACATATTATACCACCATATTTAAAGGTGTGTAGTTTAAACAGGAATTTTTAACGTATGTGAATGAGTCACAGGTATTATTTCACATGAACATTTGTCCATTATAGTCGAAAATATAAGTAGACGTTCTGTAAGTCTTAATTTTGTAAGTCTAGCAAAAGGGCAGTTAGTCCTATAAGTAGACAAAGCCCACAACAAGTTACTTGATACCCGTTTCCCTGACATGGTAACTGCAAAAAGTATTAAAGTCAAATCTCGTTAAAAATATTAACGAGGTAACCTTACCTTGATTCCCATAAGACAGTGCTCCTTGGTATGTTGAAACAGTGCTTTCGGCTCTAAATACGACGTATTTCCAGGTTTGTTCTTGTTGGTTTTAATCCAACATATATCTTCACACCTCCTGTAGCCCCACCTTCTCAGACACTCCCGGCCCTCGTCTAGTCCCTCCGCAGAACCACACCAGATAAAAACAAAGGACGGGTTTCCAGCCAGCTGAAATATGGAAAATATGTGGTTGAAAATATGTGGAGGATTGTAAATATGTCTTAGAGAAAGTTAACGTATGGTTGGGTAACATGTTTTTTGTTCTATAATCGACATTATATGGTCGCCAAAGTGAACACATCCGTGATATGTTTCTTTAGAACTCTATACATGTGTTTTTGGGTCAGTTATAATGTTATTTGCACAAATAACATTTGAAACTCCACTTTGATCCGTAATAAGTTAATAATCTCCAGCAAACTTCAAACACTAACTCAATAAACTGGAAAGAGTTTCTCTAAATCTTATTACTTTTATCACATGGTGGTCAAATTCCAGTCGTATTCTACTAGCTGATGATTACTGTGATTAAATCAAATGCTCTGCAATTTAAAAGGGACACCGCACACCAAGTCAACAAAATGTTTCCTTGAAAATCAACAGATCTTCTCACCAATAGATTAGCCCTACAATGTGAGGACTGGGAACCTATACGGAACATTCACCGATACAAATTAATATTATGATTCACAACAAACACTTCTCACCTCATCAATTTTAAGTTTAGAAATGTCCTCCCAGTTCCAAGTTTTACTATTGTAAACACCAGGAGCCCTCCGCTCGTATTCCTCGAGAGGTGGGTCTATGTAGATAATATCGAAATCTGTCTTGAGAGTGGATCTCAAATCCAGGGTGTGGAGATCTCCGGGTAGATATTGTGGCGGTGTAGCAAATTCCTGGAAATTGTATTGTGTTGTCTGGTGTTGAAGTGAAACGTATTAATGGAATTTGGAATGTTCGGTTTTACAAACTTGTACGTGTGTTTAAGAGTCTAGAATCACGATTGCGGTTATGAAGAGAATGGCTGCAGATTGCAGATATTGATTGATGGAGAAATCTTCATTTCTGATACTGTGAAGATGGAATGGTTTTCTTTTTAATGGTAATACCACCATGTACGTGTGCATGGGTGTAGGGAATGATGATCCAATGAATTCCACGAAAACTTTAGTGCACTGATTTAGAATCGGCGGTTTTAATAGATTCTCAGAAAGGCAAGTCAGTCAAAATACACATAAAAATCAATCCAATCATAACCAGACCACTTTTATTCGATTCTACAGCCACAACTAAGTTAAGTATAGTATGCTGAGAGTTCCTAGAGTATTCAGTAGAAATACCACTCCGATATGATTAACTGAGATCTCAACCGCCAACTTTAAAATATAAATCGGTGCACTATTCGCAGGATTTTCCGAAGCTTAATATTGTGTCACGTACAGTTATCAGTATTTCATGACGTTTGTACATTAATGACAAATCGGAGAACTAAGACACATTCCACGCTATCTGAAGATTTATCGTATAGAATCTCTTCCCACAGCCGATCTACTGACTACTGCTAATGCAATCACCACAGTTTTTCCGTTAAAAATACTGAAGTCCTTCATAGTAATGAATAGAGTTTTAAATTTTAAACATAGACCAAACCAGACTTCTGAGTAGCGGTTAGAAACTAAGATTTAATTAAGATTACAAATCAAAATATCGCTACTAAGCTTGCAAGAAAGGACTAAGTAACCATTTAAACCTTTATAAATATGTGTAATAATAGCATTGTTAATTTATCACACATACCGTAATTTGCTCGTCTTTGAGTCTGATCAGTTCCTTAAGTTTAGGATACTCCTCAAATCGCTCCTGAATACCTGTGTCTCTTATGTAGTTCTGGGGCCTGTTTCCTGGGATCAAGATAAGGTTATAGAAGTAATTAACTGTAGAAATGTAATATTGTTATACAGCTCTCTTGTCGTACTACAGTACGTGTCGAACTAGAGGTAATTACATAATGTAAAGTAATATAACATAAACAATGCAAGATCATGTAACAAATTATGTTTAACAGGAAATTATATTACAAGCATTCCTGGACACTTTGGGCCTTATATTTTTGAATGTACTATTTTGCGGTAGTCCTACGGATAAAACCCCCCGAAGAAGATCATTCCAGAACCCATCGTTTTTAACTTTTAGGACATGAAGGTTTATTACTGTGCACTGTGCAGAAAAGTTATCAAATTACATGCCACATACAGTTCTATTAGATCTAGTAATCTAATCCTGTACTCTGGTGGTTTTTTTAAGAACTCTAATCGCAGATAATTAAATCAATGAACTAATCAAGTTCCTTTTCATGACCTTGACAACACAGTAACATATGCAAATCACTAACTGCCAGACTCTTTGAACTCTTAAAACATTTTTAATTTCAGTTATATAATATATAAATAAACTGACCCAGAAATTACAGGTTTAAGTCTGCACATGCTACTCAACCTAACCTACTATAATCTAACCTGTATCTACGAAATGTTGCTGGTAATCATTGTGAGGATTAGCTGACTGAGTCCCCTTCAGGAATATCTCACTCCCGATATAAAGTTTCTGGTCGTTGTCTTCATCGTCCTGTTCACCTCGCGAGCGCTTTCTACTGTTGCGCTCCCAGCGCATCTCACCCATCTTTCGGCGCGCAACCATCTCCATCTGAGTATTCAGTACCTGCAATGCATTTGTTATGTTAATACTAGTTGATAAAGATAAAAATATCAAATTGGTTAGACTGCTTAGTAAATGATAATAAATATTTTTAAAGCAAGAGATTCAAAAATGGAGATACAATTTTAGGGGAAAAACGTATGATCTGAACAGCATAATATAAATAATAAGATATAAAATAATTGACACTCACCACCCCGATCCTGCGGCCACTAGATACTCCCAGAACTTCAGCCAGCTTGTCTCTCCGTTTCCGGGATCTGACCTGCAGCTTGTGGAGGATCTCCATATTCTGAGATACCATCCTGACTAATAAAAGGTACACTTTTTAAAGCTAGTTTATTGCAATCTACAAGGGATGGATAACGATATAATAGAGAAGAGTTTGGATTATAATTTTATATATTAGTTATTATGTAAAGCACCGAAATTAAGCTTTCCTATGTTGATCGTTAAAATTGTTTTCTTATATTTTCTGTAATAATAGGTAACTTGTTATACACAACTTGTGTTATTTATCGGTATTCAGTCAAAATATTCTAAGGTCGACTCGGTATTAAGTCAAAATATTCTAAGGTCGACTCGGTATTAAGTCAAAATATTCTAAGGTCGACGCCATGTTGATATTTTTATACAACTAATATAATACTTCCCTTACATTATATTATTGCGGTAATTTTATAGTTCATCGCATTAGTCAGTAAAACAAAACAATAACTACATAGATTTTAAGCTATAATAAGCAAATTATTACTCTTTAATGCTTAATGCTAATATCAAGTATGTAATAACAAGTATGTAATAACATTTTCTAAGTTTTAATTGATAGCATTAGAGTTAATTGATAGCATTAGAAAACAATTAAGATACAATATCAATCTTTTTGTTACTTATAATAAATCTTACACCTCCTGAATAAATGGGTCACGCCAGCGTGAAAATATTAGAAGATCACTGATCAGAGGTTTAAAAAAAAGAAATTAGGGCAAGATGCAAATTGTAAAAATATCAAAAACGTAGATACAATATAATATCGAAACATATAAAACTCAAAGACAAGCGAACTATAAATCTCACGAAACTTGAAGTTCGCTAGTCTGTGTGTGTTATTTGTATATCTCTCCAACTTGTTCTGTACAATAATTCTCCAATCTAATTTTGTTATGGAATTAATATTTGTAATATCATGCAATATTGAATAATTGATAACCGAAATTCTCGAGATAACAACGGCTGTATCTCTGTATGAATTAATAATTATGTATCGAAATAATGCATTAAACTAATTAAATAATGCATTAAACTAATCGAAAAATCTTCTGTGGTCTTACCTTCCGACCAATTTACTGAAAAAATCATACTTTTAAAAATACACAAAACATCTTAGAAACCTCAAAGCAAATAAAGCGGTGAAAAAAGTTATATATAAACGTTATATAACACCAAAAACAGAACAAAGTGATAAAATGATAACAACACTATGACGCGAATGAGTGAAACAATTCCAAATTATTGTAGACTTAACAGTATCACGTACTAAAATACTCTGTATCAAAACACGCACTGCCAAAAAAATTAAACTCCAAAATATCATGTAATCTATACTGTATAATAACTTAATAAACCTAACGGCTAACGGTTAATAACCCATATATCATATTCTGGTACTCCATTAATTCAAATTACAAATTTCGTTTTCATTTGGATAGAATAGATATATAGGCAAACTAAAACAACTAAATACTACTAAAATGTCTCCTCCATTTCAAAGAAGTCAAAAACGATTCAGAAAAAAAGCACAGTATTTTGCACGTGCAGAAAAGTGCGCGCATTTACACGTGCAATATGCCACCAGCAGATTACCACACGTGATCACTGTTAGCATCAAACACGGGGCTGATAGGATCATCATTGTCATTGGTCTTATAGCTGTCTCGTCTGAAGTGCTTGTTGTTGTGGTCGCTGGTCTGACGTAGTGTACCAATCAGGTCTGGGCATTCCTTTCCGTTAGTTATAGCGTTACACTCCATCAGCATGTCGTATGTCATCTAGATGAGTAGATAATCATTATTATAAGTATAAGAGGTGTAGCCAAGTTCCTGTGTTGTTGATGATTATCAACCTAAGTATAATGTCCTTCTAATTTTCAGTAATTCCTGATCAATACAAGGACACAATTTAGCAATATTTACTATTTAGAAGCAATCGAAAATCCTCATAATCATATCAATCCAACAAGAACAACAAGTATTAATATAACGGCTGAAGTAAAGATTACCTCCTCAGATACCACAGAATCCTGCTTATAGAGAGGATGGTTATGTACAAACTCTCTCAACCACGCAGCTGTTGTCTTCAACTCTCCACTGGCTCTCTTCTGTATCAGACTGATGTATGAACAGATCCTTGTTGCTGTGACAAACTCCAAATCCTGAACAATAACAATATACTAGAAACACAGCGTATCTGACGATCTTAAAGTTTAAGCAAATTGAAGTAAAGGCAAAATTGAAGTTAAGACAAATTTCCAAGGATTTAAAAGTACTTATGTAAGACTGGTCAGCTGTGAAACATCAGGTCACTGTCTAAACTTCTGCAATCATACTTTCAGTGGTGGCCGCTATATACTATATACTAGTGACTAACATAGCAGTGATCTAGACTCTAGAGGTGAGCTGGTAAAACTAACCATGTTGTTAACGTATGCTCTGATAACTTTGCAGATTCCCGGAAAGTCGCCGTTTCCGTTGATAATCTCATCAATCGTCATCTCAACTATTTCCGGTTCGCACTCACACTTACAACACTGTATGTTCTTCCTGCCAGGGTTGCAGATGTTATCTAGCGCGTGCAAATTCACAAAATTTGAAGACTGAATCTGATGAGTATACTTATTTAAATATATATTTTATAAAACCGATATGTAATATTATGTAGGATACGTCAGACAAAACAGACAACTGTGAAATTAACCTGAAGTAGAACTTCTCATCAAGAACAGCGTTCCTCTTCTGGGCTCTCTCCATGTTGATCTGAACGAGGGAGAGCGGCATATAGAAGTTACATTTGAAACTGGCCATGGCCCTGCTCAGTAGAATGCAGAAGGACACAAATGCTGCATTCTCAAAGTCAGTTATCTGGGCCTCAATGGTCCTGAACTCCACTCTCCATCCGATGTCTGATCCAGGGGGAGGTGGTTTGAACCGCATGTTCTGCCAGTTGGTAGACTGTAGACTTTCAAAGTGGTCCGTGTCATTCTCATCGTCCAGCTCGATCCTGTGTAATTAATCAAATTAATATTATAGATTACACAGACTAAATTTAAAAATTTGGCAAGGTACTCGCGGCATGTTATGAATAATAGTGTAATGGCGTACGCATACCGCCATAAATATTTTGTAAAATATGGATAACTTAAAGAATCAAAGAGGATTATAAGATCTGTACTAAGTCTCTCGGAGTCTCTCGGAGCTGTAATTTTTTATGTCATTTACGAACTGATAATGACCAGGTGGAACCCCGATTTACCAAAAACCCGATTTACCGCGGCTGTTTCCTTCCCCCTAATTCCACAGTAAATCGGTGTGTTTCTGTACCTGTTGCTGAAGGCTGAGATGGGATCCCTAATAAAGAGATGAGCGATATGACGTGCCATCAGCGGGTCGATATTCTCCACATTAGCCTCTATAAGAGTCTTGTAAACCTCCTCATTGTAGGGTGGGTTCACATCACTGAACTTCTCGGAGCGCAGGAAGGAGTTTATAGTGGAGTAGCGGGAGGAGCGGGCTTTGTTCTTACCAGGATCTGCTATCTCCTGACAAATATTGTAGTTTGTAGATCACCTTTATACGAGGAAGGTTGACGAGAAGCTGATCTTCAAACAAGGGGTAATATTATGTAAAGTACGTTTTTCTGAACACTCAAACAACAGTGAGGGGGTTTATAATATTTTATTCTTAATGTGAAGAATAGCCTAAATTGATAAGACTTAAACCGTACATCATCAGTTCTGTCATCAACAGAAGCAGAGATAACATTCCACCTGCAGTCCACATCACACAAGTAGCCCCTGTAGATAGGGGCAGCTGCTGACAGAGCCATTACTATGGGGGTCACTACTGCTAGCTGGTCGTACAGCACCTTCGCTTCACATAGGTTACACGCCTGGGGAGGGGAGGCTATGTTACATGGGTTGTTATTTAGCTGGGCTACTTTATTAATTATTTCGTTATGTAGTCCTGTAATTCTACATACAGCGGACCTGTAGACTAAGTATAGACAGTCTGATATATAAATTACACGAATTATACTGAACATCGTTAAAATACCGCGCATTTATGAACATAAATTATGTGTACACATACCTGGAATGTCATTTGAATGCAACAGCAGCCCATGCCGAAGCCCATAGCGTCCATGTAGACATGGTCCGGTTTAGCAGCTGGAATGTCAGGGAACTCAATAAAAGGGCTGGGAGTGTTCTCGTCTTTGAAGATAGGAACATTAATCTCAACCTGCAGGGACAACATGCTGGTTAATTAGAGTCAGTAACACCGGACACTGATAATTGTTAGCAGGAGCTTTTTGAGAATTTAGTTGAGAATGGAGTAGATGTTTTGAAATTAACATGACGTTCGAACAAAGTATTAGTAAGAAGTGTTCGATGTTAATACAGTTCCACTTTTTTAACAGCATGCCATGCAGATTGCAGACCCAACATAATTTCAACTGCAGACAATATTAGAAGATTCAAGAATACAGCTTGTACGACAGAGCACATGCAACTTTAGCGCATGCAAAAAGAGGGGAAAGAAATTTTACCTTTTTACCTCTACGCTGCCTGATGTTCCTAGTCAAGTTGGGGAAGCGAGGGTGAGGGTTGATACATTCGTCCGGGAAGAACATGCTCTGAGAGACATTGCCGTGAGGAGAGGGTTGGGCAGGAGGCCAGCAGAAGTCAGGGCAGCCCAGACGAGGGAAATTAGTCAGTGTCAGAACTGTTTCTGTCTCGCTGTCCATCAGCAACATCAACTCCTGGGACATACATTTGGTAACTTATGCACAGAAGGATACAATGATAATAAGATCTCATTAATCAACTTGTAAATTTTCCAAAGAGGGAAATGAGCTGTAAAATAGTAGACCAACAAAGAATGTGGTAAATCTAAAGTTATCCTAATTCTATAAAATCTAACCTTGCGCCTGTGCCTCATGTCCCTTATAACATTGTTCAGCTCCTCAAAATCCTCCAAGAAGGGTTTGTTAGGAGTAGATTCAATCTGGAAAGATCCGTACTCCTCCACAAATGTGACTGGCATCTCAAACTTACAGTTATGTTTAGCTAGTCGCTCCAGGTACTCCTAGGTGTTACCAAATTCAATTACATGCTTTTACAATGTATCATTTAGCGCATGAATATAATGCTGTTGTAATTTTACAATATTGAAACTTCCACTTTTCACAGCTTACTGTTCCTGCAGACACTGAAGATTTCAACAAAAAAAGATAAAAAGTAATCACCTGAGTTTTACAGTGCAGATAAACACGTTTTTTCTCGTGGTCGAACTTGAACAACAAATACTCAATCTCATCGCCCCACTTAAGCTCCTCGTATTTCCTCTGCTTCATCGTCTTCATCAGGTGTATAAACTGCTTTACTCCATGATCCTTTATGTAGTCCGACAGTTCTTTCGTTTCCTCCCAGGACAGAGGCTCTCCTCGAACTAGTATTCCCATACTTTACACTAAGCAACACAGGAATTATTAAATGGAATATCAATAATTCATGAACACAACTTTGATGAAATCTAATTTTCTGCTTTTTACAGAAGCCTTTTTCAGCTGAATTTACAAAATATCATGAACGACATAAATCAAAAATGAAACTTGTACGTGTTCAAAAAAAGTGTTAACATTCAGTCTGTTATACCAGTGCAGCATAATGAATTGTTTTAAAAAGTTCAGCTTTTCAAATGAATCATTTCAGTAACGATATAACGCCTGAACAAAGGATCTTTTTAAAACGCAACTTTCGTTACGTTTCATAATGTGGTAGAACATATTTTTATTGTATGTCAAAATTAAAACTGTGTTTTTCTGTTGAAAATCACCGAGTAAAATGTATGTCTTTAAAGTCTATCTAAAACCACAACATAAAAGAAAAGTTTCCTTCAAATAAATTAGTTAAAAAGTTATATTTGAAACAATATCTCAGCCAAACTTATTGAAATTTTTAGTTTTAGCTACTTTAGTCTTTTTCTTCCGTTTCCCAGGATCACTTGCAGCTTCCTGGTTTATCGAGTCCTGAAGTTTTGAGAAAAAGTTTGAGTTGATCTTCTCTGAAGATTTCTTTGCTAAGGTGATACCCTGCTTAACTTCTTCACTCACTGCAGCAATTGTATCCTTTTTAGTTTGTTTCTTTTCGCCAGATTCCCTTTCTAATCGCATCTTCTTAAGATCTCTTTCGCTTGCTTTTAAGGACTGAGATTTCTTAATCTTCCTTCGTTTCCTCTTTTTGTCTGTTCCAGTTTCTTCTACACTCGTTCTCAGTTCTTCCTTCTGCTTCGCTTTAACCTCTGCAGGAGCCAGTATCTGAGTTTCAGCTACAGCAGTAGGTATTGCCTCTTCAACACTTATAGCTGGAGCATTGACTATTACTTTCAACTCCTCGATCACTCCTTTAGGAGCAAAACCGAAGTTAGACAAAGCGTCCAGTTTCCTGAATAAGTTCGTCAAATCGTTTTTAATCGTTTCCTCGGCTTCGTTGATTTCTTCTTTTTCCACCCCTTCTGCTTGCTCCTGAGCAGCTAGATAATCTTTTTCGTATACCTCCGCTAAACTAAGCTGACTCTTCTCCTGGTTGAGGGGCACTTCTCTTTGCTTCATTATATCTCTACCAACTGGTTTCTCTTTCCGTTCAACATCATCAAACAGCTTAACTTTGATTCTTTCAATTAGCAACTTCTCGATTTTACTCGTAGTTTCTATAGTTATCTCAGGGGCAGGACGAAGTCCATGGTCAAACTGCAGGTGCTCTTCTAGCAGAGCATTGTTGTCTCGATCTCTCTGGGAGCTCTCTCCCAACATTTGCCACGTCTTCGGCTGCATTGACTGCTCCTCGTTAGCGGAAATCTTTTTATGTATCTGAAATAGAGTAATATAAGGAGCGAAAACTGAGAGTATGATCCATAAATAACGACTTTTTTGAAATTAAGGTGAAGCAACAATCACGGCCTTGGAATTATAAATAAATAATATAATTATTCGCTGCTCATTCTTGAAATTTCGCAATCAACAAATTTGCTATTGACACCAAAAATCAAGTTTATCAAGTAACCTTTTTGAGCTCCATCTCAAGTTTTGATTCAATCTTGTCATCTTCATCATCTCCATCATCTCCATCATCACCTTCGCCGAATATATCAGCTTCCATTTCTTCTCCTGATTCATCTGCTTCTTCGTCCGGTTCTTGCTCTACCGCTTCACAAAACTTATCCATATCTGCTAAATCAAATTTTGGAGTTGCCTTACCATCCCCGGATTCAACTCGAGCTTCAGTATCAAGATCTTCGTCCATTTCATCCTCAGAATTGTCAGGCTCTTCAGAATCTGGTGCATCGTCAGCAGGTGGTGGTTCTGCTTTTTCTGGAGAGGGAGTCTTCTCAGACAATTTTTTGTTAATCTCACTTTGAACGTTTTCCACCAAAACACCATTCAGCAACTCTAATTGTTGCCAAATTTGTTCTTCATCAAAATTCTCGACAAGAAGCTTCGGTAGCAGGATCCGAGATTTTAAAGACTCATCATTTGAAGCAATTTCAGAAAGATGATTGTACACGTTTTCTAGAATATGCTGCCATTGCTCTTTCTGTTGCAAGTTGGATGAGAGACCGTAAAGAAGAGGATCTGATAGAGAAGAACAGTATTCTTCTAAACTTGATTCAATTGGACTAACATCAGGGGCACTTTCCATAACTGAATATTGGAGATTAGTTAGTATCATTGATATTAATAGAGCAATTAACTACCAAAACGCTATGAAATAATTTAATTTCATATTTAAAGCATATTATGAAAAAATGGAACAGAATAAAACAATTTCAATCGCATTATATACGTATTCGAGTTATTTCTCGTTTAAAATTAGTAAAACAAATAATTTCAATCATCACAGTACAGGTAGTTTAAAGCAACTGATATGAAATCCACATCATACAAGAAATTAAATACACGAAAGAAGAAAGGTATAGCTATTATAGTAATAGTTCATAGACAATGCCCAGCAGAACTGCACAATCTAATGTTGATTTAATTTTTGACTGATAAAAATATTATAATGCCCATCAACTGTCCAGACCAGTACTTTGAGATTGAACAGAATCCGAAACAAAGTCTCTAGGCTTACTCTTCTCGTTGAGTGCCTCTAATCGATCTAGAACCAGTCTAGATTGCTCATGAGCTAGTTGAAAGTCTTTCTCTGAGTTGTAAACACTACCGCCATGAGGCACCGCAGTGGACACCTCCCCAAGATAGCTAATTGTCTGTAGAAGTTTCTCATTAATCTGCTGCACTGATTTCATGAACAGTTGGGCATCTGTTTTTACTTTTTGAGTGTTGATTTCCGAGTCTCTGGACATTTCTTCCAGGGTTGACTGAGCATATTGAACTGTTTGAATTACTGCAGACTCAAGATGCAGAAGGTTTTGAAGTTCTCTACTTTTCATTGCCATGATCTAGTAACATCAAGTCCTGCAAATAATAATACACTAATAACAAATATTGGTACTGAGTCTATTGAATTTCAACAGCAGTTTGCTGCATATTTAAACAAATCTGTAACAGAAGCATTGGATCATGTAAATTACTCAACATGAAATTTTTTCAATTTGAATAAGGTACAACTATTTTTACCCTACTGCAGTACTGATACATATAATAGTACTATGGTTGAATAACATTCTTGGTCAATCAGAAATATAAAATTAGCAACAGAAAATAATGATTATTAATGATCACACAAAACATCATTCAAGATTAAGTATAGTTTCAAAACATGATTCATAGCTAAGTCCTTTATATACAGTAACAAAGAAATTCTTCAATTAGAAAAAATTAAAATTGACAGACAAACATTTTACATTTCTTCCCTGGCCTCGTACTAAGCAGCTTTTTTGAACAATTTACTCAACATATTACAACAAAAGAGATAACCCTCATGAGCCTGTCTTTTAACTGCTTGTGTTCTTTAATAAGTTTCTGATAATTTTGGCTCGATGTTTGGAGGAAGGTGGAATATCTGAGTCACATATTGAACTAAAATCTAACGCGTAGTCGTTCAATGTTTGTACACCCAAGCTTGTTAGTTGCACATCATAGAATATCACAACATCCCCACTGAAGGTAACATAGACAAGAGCAGGTTTGTTGTCACTTCCTTCCATGGCATACTGCCCTGCACAGAAAGCTCTGATAGGAACAGAGGCTTCAAATTTGAACTTCACACAGTTTTTGTTGTGATCAACAAAGAATGTGACGCCATCCCAGGAACAGGCTATCACCTCATCTGTATCATCATGATCGATATCTGTTTTAACAAGAGCAAAGATGGGATTGTCCAGAGGTAATGTCCATAACTCTTCATCCTCATGGTACATCTTTAGTAACCCATCTAATGTAGCAAAGCATACCATATTGTCACCATCTCCAATACCAGAACGCACGTTACCAATTGCATCAGTGACTGGAGAAGAAAGTTTCACATTTTGAGCAAGAGGATCCCACTGAATAAACTTATTTTTCTCTGTCCTGGCAGCTTTTAAAATTCTTATCCCTTCACTTGGAATACACACAAATATACTCTGAGATCCATCTTTGGATGTATTGACAGTTATGGCATCAATTTGCCTTTCAAAATTATATATTTCTCTGTCTTGATGTTTCAATTTTTCATCAGCATCATCATCCCAGGAATAGATTCTCACAATAGTGTCGAGTATAACAATTAAATCATTAGCGCCTCGATTTGTGACATCTGCAATAATACATTGTTTGATATTAAGAGGAAATCGCTGTTTATAAGTATGATAAAGAATCTTTTTATCTCCCTCTTGGAACATTTCCGGTGATTTGATCTCGTTACTGTAGTCATGATCATAAATGTAGCACAGGCCCTCTCCAGTAATTACCACTAAAGAATTGTCTCCTTTGTTCTTTATGTCCCCAATGCTAAGACAAGTGATCATGCCAAGATTATGAGCATCCCATTCAAGGTGGTTTTCTTTGAACACAGCTAAATCTCCAGCTACGTTCCCAATACAAAGTTCATTAGTACCATCATTGTCAAAGTCTGCTAACGTTATAGCTTCTTGGAAAAGACTGCCTTCAAAGTTGAATGTGAGGCTTTGAACAAATGAAACTGTCCTTACCATAGTAACATCTGTCGTTTACAAAATTAGCATCTGGAAATAGGAAGTAATGATTGATTAAAATTAGGAAAGAAAATTAGAAGAATGATAAGAAAACATTATTTGGCTACAAAACTTTTATTGAATTAATATATTACTATTATAAACAGTACACTAAAATGTAGATGTAAAGTATATTAGTACAATGTTTACAGAACACTACAATGTAAATTGGTGCAGTATGAGACTCTATGGGTTGCCTGAAAAATATATCAGAATATTTCAGTCATTTTTTGGGGGTACTATGAGTGCAGTGAGGGTTAATGGTGAGCTGACAGGCTAGTTTGATGTTAACTCAGGCGCAGGTCAGGGTGACATTCAAGCACCTCCTGTCTTCAATTTCTGCCTAAACTTTTCTGCATTTCTGGCTGAGACCAACAAGACCATCAGTCAAGGCGCAGTGCTGCAGAAGGAGATGAAGACGGTTGAGGAAAAGGTCATTCTGGACACCGATTATGCTGATGACATGGCTATTATGGACAACTCAGGGGAAGGCCTACAGGAGTCAACTGATCCACTAGTTCACTACAGTTCCTACGCTGGGCTCAGAATAAATGCAAAGAAGACCCAATGCATGGCTGTAAGCAAGTGCGCCTCCCAGCGACCTTTCATCAAGGATGACTGTATTGAGCTGTCGGTTGAGGGTGAACCCGTCTACCTGGGTGCAACTATCAGTGGGGTTGGGATGATCGACAGAGACCTGGATGTCCGTATCCAGAAGGCAAATGGCGCCTTTCATCAGCTCAGGAACATTTGGAATAGCGGAACTATAAAGACTCCAACCAAGATCAGGATCTATAAGGCTGCTGTCCTCACCATCTTGTTGTATGGAGCTGAAGTCTGGAACACCACCAAAAAGCAGATGAAACGCTTTGAGGTCTTCCATCAGACCTCCCTAAGAAGGATCCTTAGGATTAAATGGTTCTTCCATGTGTCCAACGAAGAAGTTCTTAGGAGGGCTGGCATCAAGTCAGTTGAGACTTTCATCAGTGCTGCCAGGCTACGTTGGTATGGACATGTAGTAAGAATGCCAGACTCTAGACTACCGAGGTTTCTGTTGAACTGGAAGCCAAATTATGGAAAGAGGTCAAGGGGCAGACCCCGTAAGAACTGGAAGGCCTGCGGACTCGAAGATGCTGCTAAGTTTACACGTGTTGAAAACATCGACAACAACAGAACAGAAGCTTTGGCTACCAACCGAGTACAGTGGAGACATATGTTACGCCGCCAACGCTATGTGTGTGATACAGGCCACTCCAACGACTAGGAGGAGACCTTACCATGTAACATGTATGTAACTATGTAAATGCACTGTATTATTTATTCATTTGGCTGATTTAACCAAGGAGACATTGGATTTGAATTATAAAATGATTACACAGATGAATAATTTCATTTAGATTCAACATCATACTTACCTATCTCCCTATTTGATAAATAAATAATGTTGGTGGGGCCGGGGATAATGAATATATCCCCACCAACATTAATTATTAATCAAATACAATATTTTTTTTTTAATTTACCAAAACTGGAAATATTATTTTATTTTGAATACAGATTTTCAAAACAGATTTTCAAAACATTAGAAAGCGCCTTCGCTTTGAAATCCTAAGAACAACAGTGATTTCTCTCCGTGGAGACAGAGGTGCGAGAAAAAAATTGTTGATATAAACAGTCTAGATCTTAACTTGGAGCCACAAGGCCAAGGTAGTAGAGGCTCTTACGGGCAAATAAGGCACTCTTCTGATGGAGCCCCTAGGCTCCTGGGATGATTGTTTTATGGACTAGTAATTAGTGCCGCATCGATAGCCGATCTCAGATGCCACTATGGAGGCTGTATGGCCATGTGCTGACGGTTATTTGCTTTTTCCCGCGCACATTGCTAAATCACAAAGTAAACGCTCGAATTTGATTTCAAAATATTCACACAACTTCTAGATACCTACTTGACAATATTACGTAGCCAGATTTACCTCTGTTGCTTATCTCTTGGTGTTATGACCATTCAAAGTTTCAGATTATCACGTGACACATTATGTCACAGTAAATGCGCGCAAGAAAAACTTTCACACATATTTTTGATTCGGCGCAAGCGCGTTCCGCACAATTACTACAAAAAGGACCAGGAATCTTCCGACGAGTTACACTACGTCATTAAATAGACATTTATTATTATGTGTGATACGAATGGTAACGACACTTGTATCATAAGAAACAATGATTTAAAAAACAAGCTGCTATGATAAATGTTGCTAAAAATCAGTAAGAATTACCTCGATGTAAGCATATTAGGGGTCGCGGTCGTTCACATAATACGGAATCACCGAGAGGGGGGGGGGGGTTAAATTAAACGTTGTTCAGGACGTGATTACGTAATATGTCAACGATCCTGTAAGAGCTTTACATTGGCTGTTACATTCCATACATTGAGTTTTACAGGGCTAAATTTGAACTTTAACAAGTTCTCTGTTTTAGTGTTCTGCTCTGGTGTTAGTTGGCATAACAAATACACCATTCGCAGCTTTAAATGTGACTGATCAGTGACGGGGAAGATGTAATTGTAAAATAGCATTTAGTCCGCTGCATTTCCCTAACACCCAATTTGGATCTTATGTCATGGTTGCAGTGTAATGAATTCCAACGAATCTTTAGACTAATACCCACCAGGTTCTGAAAATAGCACTTTCAACTGCTTTTAAAAAATAAGCTATTTCTAATTTTCGATCTGACTGTAACTTCGTCGATTAGGCGAGGTTTTACAAGATAAAAAACTTTCATATGCCCCGTTTTAAACATCAAACTGTATTTTAATGTAATCAACGCCACAATGTAATAAAAACTATTTGTTTGATCAAAACTAAAAATGTCATAGCTGAAATCGATAGATCAGTTTGATAAAAGTTGAAACTAGTATAACGTGCTTCAAACCCCGGGTTGACACTTGGCCGTAAATCTCTGTTTGACATCTAGAGTTCTAAAGCTTACACACAAGAATTCTAGCAAACGTAATGTATTAAGAGAATACAACGTTAAAGAATTAAATTACAAAGAATACAAAAGTAATTTTCACAATCATTGATATAAACAAGATGGATGTTGACGTCTTATTTCGCTGAAGGTACTTTTGTAGAGTATAGCTGTGAAGTAGGCTTAATTCTTATATCTTTCCCTAGACCGTCCTCCAATCTGAAGTTATACAATTGTTATGCAATCTGAATTCTGAAGTTGTAGCAATTCGACTCCTAAACACCTTTCCTTTCTGTCAATATTTGAACAGCAGGATAATTCTGTGATTAATAATAGTATGAAACCCTCAGAATTGTAACCACAAGTCTAGATTTATGAAAAGAATTTAGACTTGTGGTTACAATTCTGAGTCTCTATCTGTCCTCTGAAGCATGTCGGTACCACGTGCCCCCACAAATTATGTTTTAAAGACCCGAGGGCCACCCTTAAGGGCTTTGGAACCGGTTTATTGAATACAATATGATATACAAATAAACTGCAATCGTAAAATTTATGTCGATACTAACTGAAATAATATAATCTGTAGTTAAAATAATAATACTGTCACCTAATTAAGATATATGATATAATTTATAAATAATAAAATAAATATCTCTTTTATTTCCACACTAATTCTAACATCAAGCTTTAATTCACACACAAAAACTTTAAATTTTATCAGATTACAAATGTCCTAATATATGCGTCTCTTATCTTTAGCTAAGAAGTTAGGGGTGCAGCCGTTGTACTTCAATTAAAATAATTGATCACGCCGGATCACGATGTTATTTTATCAAAATCAGCTAGCCGTTTAGAATTGATTGCTGAGCTCGGTGCAGGCTGTACGTGGTACTGTGAAGTGGATGTGTGTCTGAAGTGAGCAGTGACAATCCTTGCGAGTGGTTGTTATTATGATGCGCAGAGATCAAGTTGATGGTCAAGAAAGCTAGAAGCACACTGTCATGGGTGTTTAGTGTCTTCAAACTCGTGATAGGACCGTAATGACTACCCTATATATAAGTCTTTGGTCAGAAGCCTACTAGAGTACTGTTGTCCGCTGTGGGACCCTGTTAAGGTGACTGAGATCCAGCTTTTGGAGGGGGTCCAGCGAACATTCACCGATCGTATATAATGCGGCCTGGAAAATATGAACTACTGGGAGAGGTTTTCACATCTAAAGCTAATGTCACTGCAGCGCAGAAGGGAACGGTACACTATTCTGATGATGTGGAAGATCCTTCACAATGTTGTCCCCAATTGCAGCAATATAAGGTTCACAAAAACATCCAGACATGGTACCCGAGCAATCATCCCTTCCCTGTCTAGGTCGAGTTCCTCGAGCAACCAGACACTCTATGACAGCTCATTTGCTGTAAGAGGACCAAAACTGTGGAACAAAGTGCCTGATAATATTAAAGCTGAAGCTACGTTTGAGTCGTTTAAAGTTAGTTTGTCCAAGTTTATTGCTTTGATACCGGACAACCCTCCGACTTCCGGTTATAGCTGCAGCTGGTCTAATTCCCTGGTAGACTACTTGCCATCGAGGTGGTCAGAAATCTGATGACCCTTCCTGCTACGAGGATAAACACAACCAAAGTAACAAAAGTTAGTACAGATATGTGATTGTGCGTGTTGTGCTGATAAGGCTTTGATTGAGCGATGTTACAGTTTTTGAAAATAAACATATTGCATGTGCACATAAAAACATTTGATAAACATTAGCACACTACAGTAATGTGTACCTTTTTTCGCTCTTGTGAGTGGGTGCATCATATTTCATTTTTGGAAGTCTCCTAAGTGAGAGTCTCCTACAATCAAATATTAGCATATCGCATTAGGCACTGGATGATATCAGAGTTGAAGTATTAAATCAGATTTCAGAGCGTACAGATTACAGGGTGTTCAAAAATATTGCAAGGATGTACTTTTGAATAACTCTTTTTCCACTAGGATTGCCGACTAGATCAGCTATTACAAAAGTAAACTGC